CATCTGTCATTTCCGAGAAAATTGATCCTGTATTGGCCTCAAAAACAGTTATTATGGTCTGTTTCACTTTTATTGTCCAACCCCTGTAGCTTTATTAAATCAAATGTTTTGTAAAACTAGATTTCGTGTCTGTCTAATACATTTTTTGGGACATTTTTGGAACACTACTGTTAAATCCTGCCAACAGTACCAAAGAAAATCAAATTAAGTGCATTAGGAAATCTTTTACACACTGAAATTTAGTGATATATGTGCAGCTTTGGTCTTGCAATAAAATCTTTTAGGTGTTCGGAGATAAAAATTGATTACTACCTTATTCTGAGACAAAACCTGATTACTAAATCACTTAGTAGTAATGATAAAAAAAAAAAACAAATTTTTCCAGACTTTTGATTGGTAGTGCATATTTTTATACAAATAAAACACTATGTATTACACTATGATGTTATATAATTTTTGTGATATATATATATATATATATATATATATATATATATATATATATATATATATATATATATATATATATATATATATATATATATATATATATATATATATATATATATATATATATATATATATATATATATATATATATATATATATATATATATATATATATATATATATATATATATATATATATATATATATATATATATATATATATATATATATATATATATATATATATATATATATATATATATATATATATATATATATATATATATATATATATATATATATATATATATATATATATATATATATATATATATATATATATATATATATATATATATATATATATATATATATATATATATATATATATATATATATATATATATATATATATATATATATATATATATATATATATACACACACATCAGTTCTGTCTGGTTCTTGAATCTGATTGGCTGGTGGCCGTGATATATTTAAGTAATATCATCACCCGTACAGCCTATTTACCCTTTGTGTATCACTCCACCCACATACAGTCAGCAAAAAGCAGACTCTACAGATTTAAAGTTTAAAAGATGCACGCTCAGCTGTTTAACTTTCAGCTTATGATTTGAATCCCACGCGGAAGAAAGTAGTTCCTCATGCAAAAGGGTTTTTGAGACTCTCCATGTTTGATTTTGTTTTTATATACACAATTATGCCGTCAAACTGTTGTATAAACCCAATATCACACTCGTAGCAGTGCAATATGGCTGTATATCTGCACTAAGGCAACGCACGCCTCCCACCAGTCCCAATATACAGCCATATTGCACAGCTCGTGTGATACTGCTCATATATACACACACACACACACACACACACACACATATATACATATATATATATATATATATAGATATATATATATATATATATATATATATATATATACTATAGTAAATTACGGCAAACGGTGTTTTTGATTCTGTTCTTTTGATAATACAATCTACTACAATATTTAAATTACTAATGTATTTCCTCCATTTTTACAGTAATAAATCTGCATTTGATGAGGGAAATAATTAAGATATATGGATTATTAGTTGAACAATATAACATTAAATGTCTCGGTTTTACGGTGTTGTAAGATCTTTTAAGAAACATCAATTTAACGTCCACACATGTGACAGGTTTGCAGACTCACCACAGAGAACTCCACGATGTGGATCAGTAGTTTGGTAAAGGATAAATGGGAAAGTTTGTATTAAGTAGGTTTTAGTAACTCTATAGCTGCTATATGGTAACAGAGCAACTAATAACTTATTATTGATGTTTACATAATTCTGCATAGAGAGCCCAAACAGAGGAAACTATACATATTAATAAAATATACCCTCATATTAAAATACCATAGTGATTTATAGTAAATGGTGTTTTGGATAAAATAGTCTTTAATACATTCTGCTACAATATTTAAATTACTAATGTATCCCCCCCCCCCAACCCCCCCATTTTAACAGAAATAAATCTGCATTTAATGAAGGAAATAAGATATATGGAATATTAATTGAACAAAATAACTCGGTTTATTTATGAATATTAATGTCTCGGTTTAATGAGAGGTTTGCAGACTCACCACAGAGAACTCCATGATGTTGGTCAGTGGTTGGTCCTTCAGCTTCTGGAACAGCAGTGGTCTGAGGATGAATGAGCGCATCTCTTTAGTTTAACACAGACTTCACGTGACCTGTTTGTCTCTCTCTATAACACTGCTGTTTATTATTCTGCCGGTGTGCGGCGTGACTCTCATCATGTGCGCACGGCTGATGCTTTCAATTAAGACAGGAGCAGTTTAAGAGTCAGGAATAAACTTCTGAAGTAGAAGATAACCTCACCTCTTCTTCAGTGAATCCGGCTCTGGCTTGTCGATTAATGATCCAAAATGTGAAATATACTTTCCTTATTACTTAAAATGTTAGAAAGAATGGAATAAGAGTACTGACGATAGGTGAAAGTAACGGTGAGACTAGTGAAGTTCAGTAATAAAGCACTGCTGGCCTGTCCTCACGCGCACGCGCTCTGGCAGGTATAAAAGAAAGGGGCGGAGTCTGGCGCAAGGTGCGTGTTAACTCCAAATGATTGACAAAGCAGACAGAACGTGCAGTGACAACATGAGAAAGCACACCGAATAAAGATGTACAAGATAAACAAAGTACAGCCTGTACAACACATTAAACGCAGCACATTAGCCTAGCTGAAAATTTTAAATAAAATATGTGTAATAGATGTCTAAATATAGACCTCTAGGCTTAAACGAAGCTAAATTTGGGCTAGTGGAAATCTAATAGGTGTAAAAGAACAGCCCAAAGCTGCAGTGGAATGAATGACTACACGTGTGAACAGTGGCGCAAAAAGGGGGTATGCAGTATATGTAGCGCATAGGGGCGCCACACATGGGGGGCGCCATTGTGCCAAAACTATTTTTGAAATTATCCTTATCAAAAGTTTCAATTAATAAAAATGTGTTTAAAAAATTATTTTTGCATTTTGTACTATATTATTGTACTTTATTAATTTATTTCTACTATGAGTTGCGTTAGTTGGCGCACACGTTTTAATTCAAAATCATTTAACACAATAACATGCAGTCACTCAGCCAAGTGTAAAGTGTTCATGTACAGTAGATGTAAATGTTTAGATTTTTTATTTTTTTCCAAATAAACTTGTTCTTTATTTATTATTATTTATTATCGATTAATTAATTTGCCAAAATAGAGATCAAAAATTATGTTTATGTAAGTACAGACCTCAAAATATTTCAGATAACATAGAAAATAATATTTGGAATAGAAATTCCCCTTTATACATTTTATATACTTGACTATAATGATTCTTAACTCTGTTAAAACTGACACATAAATAAAGAGTCATAATATTAAATTTTTTGGAACTGAGATGTTTATTAATCTTTATTTCAATATCTATTTTTTCCCAATATAGATTTTTTTATACATTTATTATGTATCATAATGATACATCAGGTCTTTTGGTAACGTTTTTTGCTCAAAACTATTTCAATTTAGTTACCAAAAAAGTTTGCCCATAACATTTTGTCAGAACTCGCATACCCCTCAGTAAATGTGTTGTTGCGCCACTGCGTGTGAAGTCTGTCTATTCTGTCTGATTGGTCTAATTTGGGTTATTATATTTTATATATCTATCAGATGTTCACTGACAGCCCAGATTTAGCTCATGGTATTCTTGGGCGTCTATTAAACGCGAAATCGCTTGGTGTGCGTCCACCTGTAACTGAGAACTGTGACATTCACAGCAAATCTCAGAGCTTCTCTCTCAATTTTAAAATTATAGTACACGTATATAGGTTATCAACGCAATTATAAACCCACACAATTAAAATGTGCAAACTTGTTTCACTGGAAAGCAGATCAATCCACTCAGAACCAGTTTGGACGCTCAGCTCTCGACGGTGACGTGATCTGCGTGCGCGCTCTTGTGGTAGAGTTCAGGAACTGTCAAAAGACGCGCGGGCCGTCATTAAACACGGCTAATAATTAAAGACTCCTTATGAAATCTGTTAAAGCTTTAATAACATTTACATACATAGACCATAATAAATGAGAACAGCCCTTACAGATCGCTTTTATATATATACTTGGGATCAGTGGTGTAGTCCTTGCTATACGCACGTATACTCAGTATGCTTACTTTTTTCCATGAGCTGTTTGGGTATTACCACTTCTGAGGATCAATAATTGAGTATACCCTCAGTATACCCACTTGTTTTTCTGATTAAACTTCCCTAATTTACATGTATTTGCGTCCCCTTTAACTGTATACCAAACGTGTTTTTTTTTTAACTCACAACTTAATTTGTTAAGATGTGCCTATTTCTTACAATTCTTACTTAAATATATATATGACACATTTTTCTTTGTTTACCCCAAAAGGATCTGATCCTGATCCACCCTAAAATTAAAATCCTAAAATTGCCCCTGTAAAACAGTCCTTCACATTTGTCTTAATTGTGCCGCTAGTGAACTAGTATATAATAGCGACAACAGAAGACAGACTTCTAATAGTTTGGTTTAAAACAAGCAATGTGACAATTAAAAATAATTGCTGATTGATGTTAAAAGGAACCTATAAAATGTAAAGTAATAAGCCAGTAAAGAAAGTAAGCTAAAAAGCTGTCTTTCCATGTATGCACAGGCCCTTTTGAGTTAACTTAAATACAGGTTACTGATGTAAAAAAAAAATAATAATAATAATTAAAAAAAAAAAAAAAAAAATATATATATATATATATATTATATATATATATATATATATATATATATATATATATGTATATATATATATATATAGTTTCTTTGCCTACTTTCATTTACAATTTGTGTCGGGTGTAATAGTACACCACCTTTTTTTCTAGTACTACACCACTGCTTGGGATGTAAACAAACAAAATAAATAAATAAATAAATGAAGGAATAAATGTAAGGCAAGCAACCCTCAGTGAATATGCTAGGGAAAATTAAATAAGATTTTAATAAAGGGGAAAAATAAAGAGAACCATATATATATTCTTAATTTAGTTGTTATTTTAGAATTTATCATCTTTTCCTAAAGATGTTAGGGAACCACACGTATTTTAATGAATATACCTATTCAATAATGCTGTTTTGTTTAAATGCTCCAAAACATATCGTCTATGTCCACTGAGGAATGTATTAAACATATTCATTTTCAAAGCGGACTGTACTCATTTATGCAATATACACTCACTGGCCGCTTTATTAGGTACACCTTACTAGTATTGGGTTGCACCCACTTTTGCCTTCCGAACTGCCTTAATCCTTCGTGGCAGAAATTCAACAAGGTACTGGAAATGTGGTTTTCTGCTGCTGTAGCCCATCCGCCTCAAGGTTGGACGTGTTGTGTGTTCAGAGATGCTCTTCTGCAGAGCTCGGTTGTAACGAGTTCTTATTTGAGTTACTGTTGCCTTTCTATCAGCTGGAACCAGTCTGGCCATTCTCCTCTGACCTCTGGCATCAACAAAGGCATTTGTGTCCACAGAACTGCCGCTCACTGGATATTTCCTATTTGTCAGACCATTCTCTGTAAACCCTAAAGATGGTTGTGCGTGAAAATCCCAGTAGATCAGCAGTTTCTGAAATACTCAGAGTAGCCCGTCTGGCAGCAACAACAATCCCACGTTCAAAGTCACTTAAATCCCCTTTCTTCTCCATTCTGATGCTCGGTTTGAACTGCAGCAGATCGTCTTGACCATGTCTACATGCCGAAATGCATTGAGTTGCTGCCATGTGATTGGCTGATTAAACATTTACGTTAACTAGTAGTTGAACAGGTGTACCTAATAAAGTGGCCGTTGAGTGTGTGTTGAATTACAGAAAGATTTTGGAAAATAAATGAACAGAAAAGCTATATTAACTTGACATAAACACTCGTATTTATGATTACTTTATAATAATATTGTTAATTTAATTTAATAATTGTATCATTTTCATTTGTAACACGATCTAATAATAAGCCTGTACCACAAAATACACACAAACAGGATCAACTCAGGAGCACAAACACTTTCTAAAGCGGTTTTGAAAAAGCCATTTTATTGCATATTATACCAAAGATTGCTGACAAATCTCTCCAGATATCATTTATGAGCTGCAGAGACAGAACACAACATCACAAGGTCATTATAGGAAGACAGAGAATGAGTACGAGACATGCTCAAGCTATCCTTACAAAATCAAGAAGAGTAATGTCCTCTCACTTCCCAGCAGTGTGAGCGAGAAGCAGAAGCCGAGCACGAGCGTCCAGGAGGGAGATTACGGCAAACCGATCAGATCCTTTGTACAGTTCTTTGTGTGAATATCAGAAACAGAACACTTTTAAACCTTAATGGCGCGAGATTTAAGTCAGTTTTATTACATTTATAGACGCGCTTGTCAGTGGAGCAAGCATTCTGACTGACTACATTCGCAGTGAGAATAAGGTGAACGTACATCGCGGAATGTCAAACGTGATGTCACAGAATTTTAAACGTGATCAGAGGTAGCCATGGAAGCCGCGTTCCATATTCCAAAAGAACTCCCGCCATTTCCGTCCGTGCTCGGCGCGTACAGTGTGTGCGTGAGAGAAACCGTCAATCAACCTCCACCTTCATGCCCTGAACATTAACAAACACACGTATAAGACGGACAGGGAACATCCCAAGAGAAGATTTAAGGCGATAGTGCATAGTGCCATGTCTAAAATGAGTTCGTGCATCGCTTACTCCATCTTAAATCCTTCAATCTGCTGCAAATTTTAAAAACAGGACGCTTTTATTGCTCAGAGCAAACAGGCACGATTTATCCCCCCCCCCCCCCATTGGATTTGCATATATCTACGGTGGTGTGTCAGTCTAATATTTCCTGTGCTGGATCCATTCACTAAATAGCCCAAAAAAGCATAACTGTAAGCTGCTATCTGCAATTATTACCATCACAATCTTTTATTTATCAGAGAGAAAGAGAGAGAGAGAGAGAGCAAGCGCTACGTTCATCCTTATACCATTATAAAAACGTAGGAATAAAATACAGTTTCGTAGAAAGCAAGGTTGCTTTGGTCCCCTTCAAATAACGTCTTTTCTTCACTTCTTCTGTTTTAATCTGACACTTCAGTTAGAAAAATAGATCCAGAATTCGGGACGATCACTGGCGGAGCGCGTCCATACAAAAAAAATAGCACTCCGCACCTCTAATCTAGACAATGAATGACATTAAACACAATTTTGGTCCTCAGTGTGAGCGGAGCTGTTGTGTGTGATTGTCGAGAGAACCACTGAGAGTGTGTGTGTGTGTGTGAATACACTATGGCACTAAAATAAGATCAAAATGAAGACTGGAGAGGGATTCTCTGAGTTTGTAAAGGACGACGTGGTCCAGGACTGTGTGTGTGTGTGTGTGTGTGTGTGTGTGTGTGTGTGTGTGTGTGTTGGCTTCTTTCACTCTGGTTTGGGTTCCGGAGTTTCGCTCTTGGCTTCGGGATCTTCATCGCTCTCGATTCCTGAGCGGCTGACGATGCGGCGCATGGTGAAGGGCAGATCTCCACGTCTGCACACACAAAACACACACGTTATTGAGACAGAAGACTAGAGGCTGCTGCTGACCTCTAGAGCAGTGGTCCTCAACCACTGGGCTGTGGATCAATTGGTATCGGGCCGCACAAGAAATCATTACTTCTGTTTTATTGACAGTATTATCCGAGTCTGAATGAGCGTTTATTTTGATAAATGACTGTATTCTCTTGCTTACATAGCTGGCAGCTAGCTTTCTGCAAGTCGCTCACTGAAGCTAAGCAGGGCTGAGCCTGGTCAGTACCTGGATGGGAGACCACATGGGAAAGTTAGGTTGCTGCCGGAAGTGGTGTTAGTGAGGCCAGCAGGGGGCGCTCAGCCTGTGGTCTGTGTGGGTCCTAATGCCCCAGTATAGCGAAGGGGACTCTATGCTGCTCAGTGAGCGCCGTCTTTCAGACGAGACGTTAAACTGAGGTCCTGACTCTCTGTGGTCGTTAAAAATCCCCTTTGTATCTATCAAATCCCATGACAGCCTCTGTCCATCATGGCCTCCTAACCATCCTCATATTCAATTTCCATCACTCTGTCTCCTCTCCACCAATCAGCTGGTGTGTGGTGTGCGATCTGGCACAATGTGGCTGCCGTTGCATCATCCAGGTGGATGCTGCACACTGGTGGTGGATGAGGAGATCCCCCCCCCCCCCATTGTGTAAAGCACTTTAAGTGCCTAGAGAAGCGCTGTAAAGGAATTATTTATATTATTATTACTAAATTTCGATCACTTGAGCACCAAAATGTAACACACGAGCTAACAAAGTTAGCAACAACAAGAAGTCTTTGGAAAGTTTCTTTGCTAAGGGGAAAATAGCCAGTGAAGGACCCACGAGCTGCCAAGGACTGCATCTGCAATCCATTTGTTAAATCAGGTGAATCCAGCAGGTCTGTACAAGAAGATCAACTGCTGGAGATCTCAAATGATGGCCGTTCACATATCACGTCTTTTCCACGTGCAAGCTCTTATTTCCAATGGAGGCACTCAGCTTGAGCGCACATATTGGGAGAGATACACACACGGCGCAACACTTAGTTGGAAATATCTTAAGTAAGAATCTACAGTTCGATGATGAACTTTGATGTTGGCTTGAGAAAGCCAGCGTGCCTGCGCTAGGACTGGGAATGGCAGTTGGCAATTTTTGGTTTTGTTACCAAAGACAAAACACCAAAAGTCATCGTCAGTCTGCCGCAGAGCTATAGAGGACATGACGAACAACACATGATACTGGCAGAAGTCGCTTTTGGCGGAGACAAGCAGACACTCACTGTGTTTGCACTGGGTCAGTCCAGCTTGTAGGAAAGGTAGGTGATTTGCAGACACACACACGACTGAACGTTATAAAACCTAAAGCAGGGTTTCTGCAGGTTTCATCAACTCAAATTTAAAACCTTTAAGACCTTTTCAAGACCATCATGAATGAAATGTCAGACTTGCACAAGGCAAAACGCTAAAGATTTTTTTAATGGCTAATTTAAAACCCTAATAAAACATTATAAACGTGTGTTATTGTAAGGAAGACAAACCAGTTAAATAAAAGAGTTAATAAATAAACATTTATTGAAATATATTGATAGTTTTTGGGTGAATGTGGCTCAATTAGATATAGATTTACATGGACAGAGGAAAATGATCCTACGACACAATATTTCAGTGGATTTAAGACTTTATTAAGGCCTAAAATTGGGTTTTCGAAGTTCAGTTAGTGTTTAAGTAAGCTGCATCAACATGGATTCACTTATTTTATTTGATATGATTGCATTCACAGGGCTCAACAATAAGGACTGCCCGGTGGCCCAGGGCCAGCGTGAGAGACACTTGGGACATTAGACCAGATCATTACTGGCCCGATTGGGACAGTGCTGCCTTGTCACTTACAATTAATTTGTCTGTGACTATTTGTCAATTGCGTGCATTTTAAATTTGTGCTTTTAAGTCTTTAAACACTTCCTTCTCTGTGATGTAGAAAAGTTTCCGGTTCCTCTTATCTGATTGAGCATGCTATTGTTTTCCGTAACCTGGTAACAATCAGTACAGCAAAGAAACGGCAACATCAAATTATAAGGCTAAAAGAAAATGTCTGTTTCTAACATCTTGGAAGTAGACATTTACGTGGGAACAACATGACAAAATCAAAATGAAGTGATGTTTTGCACAGTTTTCCGTCAGTTTGACAAGTCAGCCACCTTTTGTTAGATAATTTCAATCCGCAATAAAACACCTGCACATTTTCCATACTGCTCTTTTTGCTTGTATAACACTTTTATTTTACATTTTTTTTAAGTATTGAAATTCTAGATTTTCAGACTTTATTTTTGACACTTTAATTAAAATATGTGGCTAAAAATAGCTATTAACTTCCCTTTTTTTTGGTGGGGCCAGTGAAAATTTTGACAGGGCAAGTAAAAATCTAAACCACTGGCCCGATCAGACCAGTAAAAAAAATCCTTAGCGTTGAACCCTGATTCATATCAGAAGGGAATCATACCAAAGCTTGCGCAAACCATGTATCAGGCAGATTCTGGAACGGTTCGCAGGTGTCCTCCAGAGTTCAGAAGACAGTGTTCACACACTAGCCAAACAAACCAAACTTTTACGTCAAAAGAACCTGGGTGCCTAAAAGTCCTAGAGTTATTGCACCCTTAAATATTTGAAAAACTTGCATACAGCACCTTTAAGCTCAATTAGAAATGCTGCTGCTGCTCGACATTGGCTAAAACGTAATTTCATTTTTAGTCATAAATAAAACAACGTCCCTATTTGGAAAATAAATCAATCTATATATTTATTTCTAATCATGCTCCACATTTTGAGTTCGTGCACTAATCGTAATAACACCCGTACCTGAGTTTGCTCTTGAGGCTGTTGACCTCTCGGTTCATGGCGTCCGCAGACTCGGTGGCGTCCTCCAGCTCTCTCTGCAGTTTCCTGCGGTTAGCATTAGCCCGCTGAGCCTCCTCCTCAGCCTCCTCCAGCTGGCGCTTCAACTGCTTCATGCGACTGTTCAGCTTGTCCGACTGCACACACACACACACACAGTCTCAGTCCTGCTCCAGCATCAGCAGTGTGTGTGTGTGTTTATATAGAGAAGGGTTCAAGCCTCACCTGGTCTTTATACTGCTCTGTGTTGCGTCTCTCATCATCCACCTGCAGAATCACCTCCTTCAGCTTCTTCTCTGTGCGACGCACCAGTTTTGAGGCCTGCTGTCTCTCCCTGAACACAAACATCAATCAGAGTTTATTACCTTTAATGTATGAGTCAGTAGAAGACTGGTGTGCCTTCAGTCTGTGTGCAGGTCTTGTTTGATCGTCCAAAAATAAAAGTAAACGTGTGCAGTACATGTTTAGATGTAAAACGCTTCTGT